TTTATTCAACGCACGTTTCATCAACTAAGTTTACCTCTTCGGAAGATGAAGTAGATTAACTTCTAACTCTGACCTTGATTTATATGTTCAAGAGTACACTTTCATATTCATCTCCAGATACGCATCAATAATTTTTAGGGTACAAATTGACAGAAAATATTCTCGTGGGAGATTCTCAACAAAGTGATCCATTATAAGAAGAAGAATAGGCTTTTCGGATAAGGGCCTTTGTCACTGTTAGCAGTTCCTACAATTTCAGACAGTCTTAATTTATCATTCGGTCATTCTTGAAGGCTTGTTGGACAACACTATATTTGTCTGGTCTTCAAAGCCAGATATCTGCTATGTGTTCTTTGAAACGAGTTTGTGTAGCTTTCTCAGTCTGACCAATATACTTTTTGTCACAGTCTTCACAGGTGAGTTCAACTTCATATGAATCGCTGTTGAAAATGAGTGGAATCTTTATCGAAAAAATCGTCTGCCACTTTGTACCGAAAAGAATCATTGATGTGTGTCCAATAGTGGAAGTGAAAGTGTACTCTGTTAGATTAATAGAGGCCAGGTTTAGAATTAGTCTGCTCCATCTTGTCGCCAATTTGGTTGGTGAAACTAAAACACTCGGTATGTAAGTAATGTATAGTGATATTTCTAGAATAGTTCCTCTCAGCAGGAGATAATGAACTGATAATAATTGCATTTCATTGAGATATTAAAAAAAATTCTAAAGATTAATGTTTATGTTGACCTCAAACTGTTTCAAACGATAAGCACAATTATGATATCTTTTTGCGTAGAACAGTCAAACCATGGACGTTTCATTTCAGAAAAGTGTCGCAATATCAAGAAAATACAAAATTCTTGTCAGAGCTCATTCCGTAACTACTGAGATATATTTTCATTGAAAACAGATTTTTTTAAAACTTGGGGACGCATTTGCTTTCGTCATTCCCAGCATATGCGGTATCTGCATTGACATGCCGCGTGCCGCAATAAGACAGAAAACTTGACCGAAAAAGTGTACAAGACTGTCATCCTTGGCTCATTGCGTACGCTCAGGGCACATAATTCTCAGATATAATGATCGTGGTGGGATGAATAATTGAGATTAGGTGTGCGATGGGTAGAATGACTAGTGGGGGAGACTTAGAACAACACTGCGCAACAGCGAGCGCCTGTAACAACAGTGGACGCTCAAACAACAACAGTGGGAGCTCATAACAGAAGTGGACATTCAAAACACCACTGGATGTATGAAACAACAGTGGCACTCAGAATAGCAGCGCAGTGGTCAGTGGACAGTGGATAGAACAACGGTGGGGGCTCCGAAGAACAACAGCGCTATGGGCGCTTATGAATGGGTGTTCAGAACAACAGTGGGCAGTTAGAACAACAGTGGTTGCTTGAAACAACGATGGACGCTCAAAACAACACTAAGCGCTTAGAAAAACACTGGGAATTTAGAACGACAGAAGCCGCTTAGAACAACAGTGAATGTTTAAAACAATAGTGACACTCAGAATAGCAGCGCAGTGGTCACTTAGAATAACAGTTGGTGCTCATAACAACAGTGGGCACTTAGAACAAAATTGGATACTTATAACAACAGTGGATGCTCAGAACAACAGTGGGAGCTCGGAAGAAAAACAGAACAAGGGGCGCTTTTATAACAACAGTAGTCGCCCTCAGCAACAGTGGATACTGTGAACAACAGTAGGCGCTTAGAAGAACAATAGAGCAGTGGGCGCCTATGAATGGGTTTTCGGAACAACAGTGGGTGCTTAAAACAACGGTGGGAACTCAGAACAACACTGGGCGTTCAGAACAACACTAAACATTAAGAACAGTTGCCGCTCGAAACAACAGTGGCACTAAGAATAACAGCGAAGTGGGCACCTAAAATAACAGTGGGTGCTCATAACAACAGTGAGTACTGGGAACAACAGTGGACACCTCCAACAACAGTGGATGTTCGAAAGGACATTGGGCGCTCAGAAGAACAACAGCGCAGTGGGCGCTTATGAAGGGCGTTCAGAACAACAGTGGACAGTTAGGACAACAGTGGACTTTCAGAAGAATAACAGAGCAGTGGGTGCCCATGAGTGAGTGTTCAAAACAACAGTAGACAGTGGGCATTTAAAACAACAATGGCCGCCCAGAACAACAGTAAATATCCAAAACAACAGTGACACTCGGAATAACAGCGCAGTGTGCACTTGGAATAACAATGGGTACTCATAACTGTGGGCAATTAGAACAACAGTGGATGCTCGGAAATACAGTGGGCGCTCAGAAGAACAATAGAGCAGTGGGCGCCTATGAATGAGTTTTCGGATTTCGGAACAACAGTGAGTGCTTAAAACAACGGTGGGAACTCAGAACAACACTGAGCGTTTAAAACAACACTGGACATTAAGAACAGTTGCCGCTCAAAACAACAGTGGCACTAAGAATAACAGCGCAGTGGGCACTTAGAACAACAGTGTGTGCTCATAACAACAGTGAGTATTTGGAACAACAGTGGACACCTCCAACAACAATGGATTTTCAGAACCACAGTGGGTGCTCAGAAGAACAACAGCGCAGTGGGCGCTTATGAGGGGCGTTCAGAACAACAGTGGACAGTTAGAACAACAGTGGACTCTCAGAAGAATAACAGGGCAGTGGGCGCTCATGAGTGGGTGTTCAAAACAACAGTGGACAGTTAGAACAACAGCGGGCATTTAAAACAACAATGGCCGCTCAGAACAACAGTGAATATTCAAAGCAACAGTGACACTCAGAATACCAGCGCAGGGGGCACTTGGAATAACAATAGGTACTCATAACAGTGGGCACTTAGAACAACAGTGGATTCTTAGAACAACAGTGGATGCTCAGAAAGACAGTGGGCGCGTAAAAGAACAACGGCGCAGTGGGCGCTAATGAGTGGACATTCAGAACAACAGAGGGTGGTTAGAACAACAGTGGACGCCTCTAACAACAGTGGATATTTAGAACAACAGTGGGCACTCAGAAGAACACTGGGCGCTTAGAACAACACTGGGCATTCAGAACAATGGCGGCACAGAACAACAGTGGCACTCAGAATAGCAGTGTTGGCGGTGGGAACTTAGAACAACAATGGGTGCTCAGGATCAAAGTGGGCAGTCACAACAATAGTGGACGTCACTTAAAACAATGAATACTCGGAATTACAGCAGAATGGACGCTTATATCAACAGTGGGCTCATCTAACAGCAGTAGACGCTTAGAATAATAGCGCAATAGGCGCTTAGAACAACATTGGGTGCATCTAACAACATTGGACGCTTAGAATAACAGCGCAATGGATGCTTAGAACAATAGTGAGCACCTTTAACAACCAAATTTTTTCTAAACATTAGATTGAAAATGTAATATGTCGAAACTACATATTTTTTAGTGCATTTGTTTTTTCAAATGAGAAATAAAAAGCAATTTTTCAATCATCCGTGAGAGAAGACAGTTATGAACAAATAATTATCTTTCGTTGAGTCTCCAGGAAAATCTATTTCGATAGAAGTTTCAGTTACCGCAACTGAACAAACGTCTGTATCGGGTTCTCCTGAGAAATAATGTGTTCTATTTTCGAAATCAAAAAGTGTTGCGAAAAGAATAAGAAGAATTG